CATTAGTCTTACTGGACTTTGGAAATAAGGCCCAGGAGGATCAGACTCTGTCCCTAGTCCTCTAAATGTGCACTTGCTTAATGTTACTAAGATGAGTAACTGTTGACTTCAGTAAAGTTAACCATTAGAGCCTAGGAATACGTGGTGAAAATTTTACTATGAAGATGATTTGGAAATATTCAAATCCAGAAACAATGCAAAATCTTGACAGCTGTAGTGGAAATATAGGTGAAAATTATTTAACAAAGTTTTAATGAAGTGCTGTTCCACTGTTTTGGATATGTATTGTTTAGCAAACATTTCTCAAGTTGGTGGTGTGTGTTCTTTTCATTGATATTTTCAAAAGGAATGCCAGTCTGTAGCCTCAAGAACAGAGTCTCAGGTGTTGAAGGGTAATTGTAACTAGCTTCTGTGTTTACTTTGGATTTTTTTTTGTAGTCTTTAAGCATATTGGAATTCTGCAGTGATAGGAAATTTAAAATTTGATACTACTTGTGATGCATGTTTTAAAAGTAGTACTTTCAGCAGAATCATCAGTCTGTGTGATGACATTTAAGAGATTACTGTCTGGAGTTACTGCTGGCTGTAATATCATTTGTCTAATTACATTTGTCCTGAAATATGACTCAGAATAAATGCGCCCTTAAAAAAAAAAAAAAAAGGCCAGCTAATTTTATTCAAACATGGTCTTTAAAACAGGATTTTCTTCATGACTGTTTATACTTGTATACACTTTGAAATTCCCAGTCCTCAGAAGAAAAATATAAAGGTATTTTGATGTATTGCTTTATACATTTTTCTAGCTTGTTCTATTGCTGCCTTTTTTCCTTTCTTTCCTCCCTTCTCCCTCAAAAGAAAAAAAAGCCTTTGAAGTGGCTCATTGATTTGCTTTAGTTGCCTATCACATGGTACAATTATAAATATTCAAACCAATGTGTAATCAGTGTTCTTCTTTGCTGGGATTCGGGAGAGGCAGGGATTAATTTAAATATGAAATATGACTTTTTTGTTGTATTAACTTAATAAAAGGAACATTGTTTTACTGGCATAAATGTGCAGTTGTAAGAATCTCAGTATTTTTAACTCTGGGCATTTTCTGAAACTAAGAAAACTAAATATTTGGGAACTGATTTTTTTTTTTAAGATGTCTAAGTTCTCTGCATATGGATGCCCAGTATTTTCATGAGTAAGTACGTTATAAAAACAGCATGAACACATTAAACAGAACTAATTTTAATAAACCAACATATAATACTATACATTTGAAGGCTCTGGCTGGAGTTTTTGACATCAATCTAGTAGTAGCAAAAATGATCTGTTCTATTTAGGGCACCTTTCTTCTAAAATGCTATGACAGTTGCTTCACCAATCATTCTTACTGACCGCTTTCACAGTCACTTCTGAGGTGAAAAATACAGTTTAAACAGCAATATATCACGACCATAGGAAAGGAATTATAAAATAAAAATCTAGTTGGATCTAGGATCTGGATCAAGGAAATATTTTTTAGGTAGGCAGAATGTAATAACCTTGGTGTCCTAACCAAATGCTGAACTTCTCTACTCTCTGAAAAGTGTCATGGGCTCTCTAGTGACTTGATGAGGTCAAGTTAGGTTTTATGCCACATCCCAGAGACAGCTACTCTAGCTGTGCTGTGCCCTCTGGTATAACGTGTGAGGGCTTTTGTTCAGGACTGAGTCAGTCAAGAGATTATCATTTACTGAATCACCAGCATCTAATTCCATGGAGGTTTCTTACATAAGTACTGACACAACCTGAACCTGCTTAGTTTGAGATCATCCAAATAACAATCTATGGTGGTACAGCCAGCATTCCAAATATGCCGTGGAATCCATTGTCTGCTGCAAAATTGTATTCAGAACTGAAATTTTCATATTAAAAAATAAGTTTGCAGCTTTCATGGCTGCAAGGAATCTTCTGAATATAAACCGAAACAGGGTTGTCTTCCTGAATTTTCGAAGCTACAAACAGTTTTTGTTAACTCTGAAATCCAATGATAGCAATTCAAAGGTAAATATTAATTGTTTCTCTGCTAAGACATTAGCAGAAATATCAAAATAACATGTTCATTTGTAACTATTTAAATTACAAATATTGGGATGGGAGGCATGGGGGGCATTGGATTGCTAAATTGGGGATCAAACTTCAAGACACCAAAATTTTGAACTTCATAAATTAGGTATAATCTGGTATGAAGTACATAGGAAGCTATGCAGGCTCCTCCTTTTCCAAAAGTGTCCCCAGTTCCTAATAAACCTAAATCCCTCCTCCAAACACCATCATCTCATCCACACATTGAGAGAGGCAAAACTGCAGGGTATGTGGCTCTGTGTGTGTAACTGGAAGTACTTCAGAGAATGCTACCATGGAGGTCCTGGACTTTAAGCCCTTTCCTAACGGCCTGAATTTGGTCTCTGGACCCTCTCTTCTGCCTTTCCCCATGTCACTGTTACCTATGTTTACCATGACCACCAATCCTCCCCAGCACTGCATATCTTTCTAGATGTTTCAAGAGGTCCACCATCTTTGCACCTGGTAGGCAATTCACCATGCAGTTCTCCTGGTCATCACAAACCCAACTATCTATATTTCTAATAATCAAATCCCCCATTACTATACTACTTCCTGTCTCTTCCTAATAACTGGGGTTCCCTCCCTCGGAAAGGTATTTTCAGCGTGAGAGGATACCCTGACATCATCTGGAAGGAAGGTTCCAACTATGGAATTGCTTTCCTCTGCACCAGCTTGATGTTCTCCTTCCTTAAGGCTTTCATCCTCCTTAGCTCCTGCAATTCAGCCACTCTGGTCTCAAGAGCCCGTACTCAGACTCTGAGGGTCATGAGCTACTTGCCCCAAATGAACTCATATGTCCACAAGGCAGAAAATCATACATTCTGCATTTAGAGCAATACACTGGTTAGCCCTCATTCTGCTGCTGGAATTCTGCCTGCTTGAATTAAACTCTGTTTTTCCCCTCCTTTTCTTAAATTTTTTTTTAGGCTCTTATAGTATATGTATGTCTGTCTCAGGACCCTGAAAATTTCTGAAAGCCTATTCTGTGTGGCAAGGCACAATTATGTTTATGTAGCACTTAATGAAAATGTTTCTAAATAGTCAATTTACAAAGAGAAAATTTGTTTGATTAGAGTAAGAATAGAAAACTATGAAATATAGCCATTAGGCTACATGTAGTAATTACCTATTTAAGTGTAACAGCAATGAAATCCATTGAAGGCAGTCTTGAAATAAAGCAAAATCTGGTGTTTTTATTAACTGCTTTCTTTAGTCCTCTCTTTTTGGGGAAGAGAGATATGTGGTGAGTGGAGTTAAGCAACCTAACATTTTCTTAATCATTGTTCTAATTTAGGACTTGCAGTGTTACTCTCCCCCCCCCCCCCCCAGTGGAGGCAGAACAAAAAAATTTTTGTTTGTTGTTTTGTAATAAAGTTTCAGCAGCTGTAACTTCCAGCGTGTATTAGATGTCATTTATCTTAGGAGTGTTAACTTAACTAAAGTTAAAAAGAGAGTATCTCATCTGGGTATATCAAACTTTGAAAATATTACCAATTGTTTCCTGTCACCCAATCAAATCCAATATAAAACTTCTTCATGAAGGTCTGTAGGAATTGCATAAGGAATGAGATGGTGAATAATAT